AGTACCGGAGCAGGAGCTTTTGGACAGCAGTAGGAGCATTGGGAGCTGACTTCAGTCCAGAGATTCCCGAGGTAGCCTTGCTGACGTCCGCATGGCCCGGAGTCTCTCTTATCCTTGTTTTTCGTTTGATTTCCTTTGTATCGGATCAGACAGTACTGTGTTTTTATTCAGACTTTGTATTTAGCATTCTGTAGAAGTTCGTGAGTTAGTGACACCAGATCTGGGTAGAGATGTATTTGAGCTTTCGCACTTGGTTTCAGTTATTTATGTTTTGAGACTTCCGCTTTTATATTAACTGTCTCGTCTTTCTTTATATTATTGATGTTGTCAAGAGAGGTATTAAATTAATTGGCTTGCCTAGCTCCTATTAGTAGGCGCCATCACGACTCCCGAAGGTGGAAAATCCGGGACAGAGAAATTTTTATAACTCAATTTTCAAAAACGAATTTTGACTTCAAACCAATCAAAATCACCTGCAGTCTTACCCAAATTTCAACCATACCCAACAAAAAAAATATTTTTTGCTTAGGTTTTTTATCATTGGTAAAAACTTTCTGGCCAATTTTGGTGGGACATTTGTTATACACTGTTTTGGGGTTATTATTGAAGTTATATCCACTTTGCACAAAAATTTACAAGTCTACCCATTTTAGGATCAACTTCAGACTTATCGGTTATGCAGCTGAAGAAAAAGAATTAGTCTGAAGTGCAATGCACTTAAAATTAGCCAATTAAACCTAAAGTGCATAAATTGCAATTAAGATGCACTTAAAGCCAAATAGGTTGGAAGTGCAACAAATGTTTTTATGCACTTAAGGCCAAATAGTCCTGAAGTGAAAAAAATTATACTTAAGATGTACTTAAAGTCAAATAGATCTGATGTGCAAGCAATATTTTCATGCACTTAAGGCCAAATAGGTGTGAAGTGCAAATTGCCCAGAAACAGATCCTTGTTCTTCGAATTTTAACAACCCAACACACGATTCAATACCTAAATCTATTCCAAATGACCTAAAATTTAAAACATAACCTCCAAACATTACAAAGAATAAACCTCTATCATCAATTTGTCAAAACAACAACAAATACAGCAAAGCCATTTGCAATTAAGAAAAAGAAGAAAAGAAGAAATAGCAAAGAAAGGAGCGTCACAGCAGCAACATCATAAAATACCTTAAAACATGATCACAAACATCAAGTAAATGCATGGTCACCTTTGTTTTCACAGCAACTAAGAAGGAGAAGAAGGAGGAGGAGGAAAAAGCCTGAAGTTGTCTATACTTTGGCTTCTGGTTAATTTTTTTTTTTTAAAAAATGAGTATGAGTGTGTGATGACCCGACCCGTCGTCTCATGTGTTACCGCCCGTTTTTCCCATTTATTGCTTCTTCATGTTTCATTATCGGCATTTGGTAAGTTAGAGTCGAATCGGTTTGGTTTTGGTAGAAAATAAGACATTTAGTTTCTTTAAGGAAGGCTTGTAATGGAAAGGTCAACCGGATGTTGACTATTGAGTTAGAGGGCTCGGATGTAAATTCCGGTGATTCGGTTAGCTTCGGGGGATGATTTGTGACTTAGGAGTGCGATCGGAATCGGTTTTGGAGGTCCGGTGTAGAACTAGGCTTGAATTGGCGAAGTTAGTATTTTGGCGAATTCCGGTTGATAGGTGAGATTTTGATCCGAGGGTCGGAATGGAATTCCGAGAGTTGAAGTAGCTTCGTTAGGTGATTTGGGATGTGTGTGCAAAATTTCAGGTCATTCAGAGGTGATTTGGTTGGGTTTTTGATCGAATGTGTATTTCAGAAGTTTTTGAAAAACTTAGGCTTGAATTCAATGAGAAATGATGGTTTTAGTGTTGTTTGAGGTATTTTTATGATTGGAACAAGTTTGAATGATGTTATAGGATGTGTTGGTGCTTTTGGTTGAAGTCCCGGGGGCCTCGGGGTGATTTCGGATGCCTAACGGGAAGATTTGAACTTAAAGAGATTGCAGAATTTTGCTGCTTCTGGTATTTTCGCTTCTGCAGAAATGGGACCACAGAAGCGTTACCGCAGAAGCGATTGAAGCGATAGTAGTCGCAGGTGCGAAGATGCCAACCGCATCCGCGGAGTTGCAGATGCGACAAAAGGACCGCAGATGCGGAATTTTGGACTTTAAGGAGATCTCCGCAGGAGCGAAAAAAGACCGCAGATGCGGTAGACGCAGAAGCGGAAAATGACCGCAGGTGCGGAAACAACTGATCAGAAGTGGGTTTTTAATCCCTTCGCGAAATTTTACAGAAACATATTTTTAACTTCGGACTTGGGGTGTTCTTGAGCGATTTTGAAGAGGAAATTCAAGGACTTCGATCAGGTAAGCATTCTCGGACTTAGAACACAATTTTATCATGCAAATACATGAAATTACACTGAAAACTCAAGGAATTAAGGTCAAAAATGGTGGTTTAGGGCTTGAAACCTAAGAGAACAAAAATGGGAATTTGAGGGGTCATTTGGACTCCGATTTTGGTGTTCTTTATATGCATGGACTCGTAGCAAGATAAGGAATCCGGTGATGTGAAATTTATAATTTTTCGAGAAGTGGGCCCGGGGCTCGATTTTTGCCAACTTCGTGATTTTCGATGTTTTTCGAGTCTTTTCGATTGGGTTATATTCCCTTAGCATATTGTGACGTAGTCGTTGTGGTTTTGGTCAGATTCGACGCACGAAGAGGCGAATTCGAAAGGCAAGGGCATAGCAAGCTAGGACCTTGGCCGGCTTGAGGTTAGTAATAAATGTAAATGCTGTGTTGAGGGTTTGAAACCCCGAATTCGCATAACGTAGTGCTATGTGAGGTGACTTGGTCCGTCCCGCTTAATAAATTGATACCTATTTGATTGTAGATTTGTAATATCCTTATAAAAATGGATTAATTGTCATAATTGGGCTTCGTGCCAACTACTCGAATCCTTCAGGGATTATTTGAATGGTTTCTTACCATATTTATAAATATTAAACTCAGTCCTGGTATTTAATACTGTGTTTGAAATCTCAGCCATTTTCTTAAATTAGAAAATTAAGTTAATATTTTTAAATGAAGTGTGGGTTGAATATTTTTATACTATTGTGTGATTTTTGGACTGAGTATGGGATCGGGCTGCACGCCGCAACAGTATTATAATGATATTGATATGAGGCCAAGGGCCTGTTTGATGCCACGAAATGGCTTATTATTGCGCTTGGGCCGTAAGGGGCCCCTCCCGGAGTCTGCACACCCCCAGTGAGCGCCGTCGACGTTAAATAAATGGAGCGGGCTGCACGGCCGCAGCGGGGTACTAGAGGTACCGGTTTATGTGTTGCATTGCATATTTAATTGGTATTTATTTCTTCATCTGTTGTGATGTTTATTCTAACTGTATTGTTGTTTAATGATATTTTTAGCTTTACTTTGTGTTTATTTAGGATTTCTTATCCTCAGACCTTATTTATATTTATTACTTTCTGAGTTGGAAGTACTCACAATACTCCCTGCACCTCGTGTGCAGATCCAGGTACACCAAAGGGTGAGTGAGGGCTTGTTAGCTGAGCAGCAATTATCTGGGAGTGTCGAGGTAGCTGCATGGCGTTTGCAGCCTTGATCTTTCCCTTCTATCTTTTATTATTTTATTCGTATTATTTTCCTAGTCGGACTTGTAATAGGTGAATAATCTGCTTCTAGAGGCTCATGTTCGTGACACCAGATTCTGTGGGCTATTTAGTATTTTATTTTGGGGTTTTCGAATGTTAGAGATTATATCAGAATTTTCGCACTAAATTGGTATTATAGTAGTGAACATTTATTTATTTATTTAGATTATTTGGCTAAGGTTGCGTAAATGGTCGGGCTTGCCTAGCAATGTGTTGGGCGCCATCACGACCGGGGTTTGGGTCGTGACAGAGTGAAATGAGGGCGAACCAATAGGACGCCTCGTGAAATTTTTACATATTTAGTAGCATGACTTAATAACTACTTGTTGGTAAGTAATGTCTATTTTCGACTTATTTATGTAGTTCTCTACTTATTGGTAACTAATGTCTATTTTTGACTTGTTTATGTAGTTCTCTCTTATTGGTTTGCTTGGTCTTGGGCTGGGTTAAGTTTTCTATGTGAATGTTGTAGTTGAGCCATTTAAGACAGGCCTAGGCACTTAAGTTTGGAAGACGAAGATGGGCTGTTTGCTTCTTTTCCCTCTTTTTGTTGGAGCTTTTGCATGATTATCCAAGCTGCCTAAAGTTATTTAAGATGTGTTAAAAGCCCTTATTTAGGGAACAATATATTTTCTCCCAAATAATAGGTGGTATATATATATATATATATATATATATATATATATATTAGTTAGCGGTTGTAATTAGTTTTGACCAACAGATCAAATATCTTTTTTGTAATAAAAAGTCACATGGATGACCATGATGCAATTTTCCCTAATTCATGATCTTCTCTTCTATCGTTTTCTTAATTCATTTTACTTTTTCATTTTTCACAACGAGTGAAGGTGCTTTCATCAATTGTTATATATTCTACTTTAAAACAAAGAGCCAATGAATTTATGTCACAACTTAATTTGGGATCAGGACCGGCACTTAGGAGAAAGTGCCCCCAAGTAAGCCTCATCGATATTTTACAGAAAATCGACAAAATTTTCCCTGTTTTTGGACTATCCCAAAAATTTCCCTGTCTCAAATCAACAACCAAACATCTTAATATCAATTCAAATGACAATGACTTTATGAATTAACCAAAACAATATCTACCATTAATAGTCTACCCACTAACAACTAGAAATACTACTTATCTCCAACTTTGATAAGAATGAGTGATACTCAACATAAGTCTATAATAACAAAAGAATACTCAAGACACTAAAAGAATGACTATGGAGCGACTCTAAGAGTTCAAAGAAAAGACCATAACAATAAATAAAATCTCCGCCCACGCGAACAAATGCGAGGCTCACCAAGAACTATCAACTTGTGCGCTCTAATTAACGAAATCCTCGCCTGCGTCAACTGCTGTCTCTGGAAAAAAAATTTAGCGGGGAATGAATCGTTAGCTCAGTGAGTAATAACACTTCAACCACAACCGTTTTTATTAGGGACAAGTCAGAAAACATGCTAGTATATTAAACAGAAAATATCATAAAAATGTCCTTTCAGAAATAATAAACAATAATCAGTCTAGTCATGTGTTTTCATGTAATATAATTCAATTGATAATTTAGTAATAAGCTCGGTAAACACTGTGTAATATCAATATTCATGTTTGGGAGGTTTCCAAGGAAGGATCATGTAATCGGTACAACTGAGGACCTCTCCGCAAGAAGTCAACTATAACGGTAGTCCCTACTCGAGGAAAATCAGTAACCGTATGTTAGTTCTACCTTCCCACTAGCGAGGGCTGTAACGGTAATCGGTAATTACAAGGTGCACCAGGTCTAGCGAACCCGCCTTTAGCTACGAGATCCTTTAATGCCTACTCCCATTTATACTTGTCTCTGTAATCCGTATATAATCGTAATAAAATATTTTAAAACAATATAGCGCATTTCGGTTCTTATCAAATCATGTAATTTCATTTCGATAATAGTAAATTCAAGTAACGGTAAAACAAATCTAGTGACAACGGGAATATTTAAAACAACGGTAATCATCTCAAATAACTATTTTGGTATCATATCGAGTAAAAGACGTATCCCACATGCTAAACAAAATCATCAGTAACATATTCATATTAAAAATCATGTGTAAATCATGCAAGTTATGAAAACACAAATTGCGGTAAGGTTACTACTCATAGTACTCGTGCGAAATACCAAACTCGTTCACCTCGAACGATCCGTACGACTTTCTTCAATCAATCTATAACTACATCAACACCGATCTCGTGTTAATTTTCTTGTTTAGGCTAATCCATAACTAATTTAGAATATATAAACCCTTAGAGGTTCATGTTTGACCATCAATTTGCCGGATTATATTTACCCATAATATGAGTAATTCAGCTAGTCCATAGTCTATAACTTTTTAGCCCATTCATATAATATACTCGCTTAATTCATGAAAAGTCTTATGGATTTTCTCCCAGTTCCCTAAACCTCCTCTTTTTAACTCAGAATCAAATCCCAACATTATATTTACTTAGTCTCGCAAGGAATCATGTATATAAAAACTACTACCATTTTAAAAGAAGGAAAACTATATGTAATTACCTGGAGCTTATCGCTGAGACTAAAGAATATATGCCAATGTTTAAATGGAAACTATATTTGGCGGCAACACCAGAAACTTTCCCCTCTTTTCGTTTTCCCTGTTGATGCCTCTGTCACGTTATTTGGAGTTTGCAGAAGGGGATTTTCTATTTTTCTAACCCTTTTAGCTTCTGTCACGTTAATGGGCTAAGCCCACTTATAGCCTGTTTGGCCAAGCTTCTTTTTGGCCAAAAGTGCTTTTTTTGGCCAAAAGTGTTTTTGGCCAAAAATTGAGGTGTTTGGCCAAGCTTTTGGAAGGGAAAAAAGTGCTTTTGAGGAGAAGCAGAAGCAGTTTTGGAGAAGCAGAAAAAAGTAGCTTCTCTCCAAAAGCACTTTTGAGAAAAATACACTTAGAAGCAGTTTTTTAAAGCTTGGCCAAACACTAATTGCTGCTCAGAAGTGCTTTTCAAACTAATTAGCCAAACACAAACTGCTTCTCACTAAAAGTACTTTTGAGAAAAGCACTTTTGAAAAAAAGCACTTCTCAAAATAAGCTGATTTTTGCAGCTTGACCAAACGGGCTATTACTTGTATTCTTTCTTCCTTTTCTTTGTCTTGTACTCCCTCCGTTCCAATTTATGTGAACCTGTTTGACTGGGCACGGAGTTTAAGAAAAAATGAAGACTTTTGAAATTTGTGGTCCAAAACAAGTCAAAAGGGGACCCAGGGTATTTGTGTAGTTGTAAAAGCTTCTCATTAAGGTTAGAATTGTAACTTTATGCTAAATTGCTACCAAATTTAGAAAGGGGTCATTCTTTTTTGAACGGACCAAAAGGAAAATAGGTTCACATAAACTGAAACAGAGGAAGTATTATTTATTTATTTGTTGTTTCTTTATCTTTTTTTTGCAATTTACTTAATTACCCTTTTTTTAATGAGTATTACAATTTAACACTTTGTCATTTTCTTTTAAGCAAAGGGAAAAGAATGATGATGACCTGATATGAGTATTACTATCATTTGTTGTGTAATGTCGCATTTTCGTTGGAAATATTTGTCTAGAAGTTTTACTGAAACGTGAGGGATTAAGAACTATTTCCCTAATAATAATGGTTATAATTAAGCATATTAGGAATTTTTTTTTATACCATAAAAATAGCAGTCAACAAGAGTTGACGTGATGCTATTGCTGAAAACATAATTAAGTCAATAAAAATGTGTTCTCTCTAACATCTTAAGCTTTTAGATGAGATGTTCGCACATTTCAATATGGTATCAAAGGAGACCATATTGAAATAATCTCCACGTGTTAGATGGTCATAACACTTCAATAGCTACAGCTTAAACCAAAAACCATGCATAATAACCAATAGAAACTTAGATTGCAGGTAAAGTTTCAAGATTACGAGAGGTTGTTTCAAGCTTTCGTCTTTCTTCATTAATGGAGGAGGAAATTTTCAAGCGTTTTTCTGGCTTGTGATTTACGTATCTCGAGTTCCAGTACTTCTCAATTTCTTCAGGAGTTCTTCCTGGGATTCTTCCAGCAATTAATGACCACCTAAGGGACCATAAGGATTTTTTTATTAACGTAAAAGATGTACAGAATTGGAAAAATTACAAGTTATAGAAAAGAAGAAAATAGAAAGCACACAGAGAGATTATGTACGTACCTTTTTCCAACCAAGTTAAACATTTTAGCAATGAGCATTTCCTCCTCTTCTGAAAATTCAAGTTTAGAGGTTTCTTCGGTGGTTGTCTCTACATCGCAAAAGAGCATGAATTCATAAATATCATGTTCATCGATCTGTCATATTCACAAGAGGAATATGTAGTATTTTTTAATCCAAAAGTATAGCAAAGGCTAAATATTTGTTATTTGTGGCATTAGACTATAGTTACATCGGTGTACGGGTCATATCATAAAGTTGCTTCTAAACCACAAAATAAGCTGAACCTAATACTTATGTACTCGAGCCAGCGCCCTCTCTCCTCTCAAATGATAATGAAAATACGTACGTAGTATGATAGTGGCTAGTGCTCTAAATTCCTTAAAATAAACTGACAAGCAGAAAGAGAAACATCGGATTTAAATTGCTAGAAAAACAATTATACTATGAATAAGTTACCAGCTGAGACGAGGAAGGTATTATCTGATGTGCTCGATAGTTCATCTGCCATTAGAATAGCTAGAAGTTGATGTGCAATGGAGGAGTAAAGAAGAGTAGAAATAACAAGCTTGAATAGGTATATTTATGTATATAAATAAAGAGCAAAAAGAATCTAAAAGTAGGGGTCCTAGTGGGTGGTTCTGATTTTGCAAGAGACAGAGAGTTCAGTGAATAAACAAAAAGAAAAAAAATAAGAAGAATGGTAGTTACATAGAAATGTGTGGTGGTCCAATAAATTGGGGTAGGTGGATACATAAAATCGAAGGGTTAGTTGGAAATTCTATGTGAAGATTTTCACCAAACAAAAAGCGTTACCACTACTAGCTAGCTAGTTCTCAATGTTAGATTATTTTTGTTTTGACTTAACTTTTTGATTTACAAGACCAACTAAAACACAACTTAATACCCCTTATTTATTGGATATCATTATAGGTTAACAACAATTCCATTGATATCTTCTATTTCTTATGACTGGGTAATAGTGATATTGAAGACATAATTAATAAGTAAAAATATGTTATTTTTAAAAACTTAAATTTTTAAATGAGATGATCACACAACAGATCGAAGTTCTTGTTTCGGGTCTCACCGGTGTCCATTATGGAAAGAACTTTTACATGCCTGGCCCGTGAAAAAGAATAAGATCCGCACGTGAGGGGATGTGTTTAAGACATAAAAAAAATGAATCTATTTAATAGCTTAAACTTTTGATAAAATGGTCATACTGTCACGACCCGAAATTTTCACCTTCGGGACCGTGATGGCACCTAACATATCACTTGCTAGGCACGTTAGAGGATCTTTAAGCCAATATTAATCAGTTTCGATAAGTAAAATCAATTAAGCAGAAATAAAACTAAAACTGAGTGCGAAATGACATAAAAACCAATAATATTTAAGTACACCCCGGATCTGGAATCACAAGTTCACGAGCTTCTAGAGTTACTACATACAAAGTTTGAAATAAGTACAATTGTCTTGAATGATAAGAACAGTAAATAAGGGGAAGGTGGAAGGGGACTTCAAGGTTTGCGGACGCCGACAGATCTACCTCGAGTCTCCAAAAGCAAATCCGAGCTGGAACACCTCAAGGACAGCTGGGACCAGTACCAAAATCTGCACAAGAAGTACAAAGTATAGTATGAGTACAACCGACCCAATGTACTCCGTAAGTGTCGAGGTAGTGACGAGGCTATGACAAGGCACCCACGTAATTAAACATGTACAGATAACAATATACATACAACATAACAACAATTAAAGGCTAAACAAGTATTATTGGGAGGGGAAATGCGAAAGAGGTACAAGATACGAAATCTACAACAGAAAATGATAACCAGAACAGTTAGTAAACCTTTGACCAATAACACGAATAAACATAATCAACAAAAACTGTATGGCATCACCCTTCGTACTTTTGCTCTCAACCTCACTATGAATCAATGATAATAGCACGGCATCACCCTTCGTGCTTTTACTCTCGCTTTCATCATAAATCAATAGATACAGCACGTCATCACCCTTCGTGCATTAACTCTCAAATATGACACGGCATCACCCTTCGTGCATTAACTCTCAAATAAGGCACGGCATCATCCATCGTGCATTAACACTCACAATATGGCACGACATCACTCTTCATGCATTAACTCTCAAACATGGCACGACATCACCCTTCTTACATTAATACTCTCCCTTACCACATAACAATGAACACATAACAATAGGGAGATGAAATAAATAAGGACAAACTCTACGTCAACAATGGTTCCACAAAACCAAACTCAACTTCAGAAATAAAACCCAAATATCATAGACAGTCTATAAATGCGGAAAGAATGATCAATTTAGTAATTAACTAGTCTAAGCACGGATACCATGACCAAAGAAAATTACAAGAAACAAGTCTCACCTGCATGCCTTAACCCAACAACAACACATAAGTACTCGCCACCTCACATATACGTTGTACCCAACATCTAATCATATAGCAATTAGGCAAACAAGTCCTAATACCTCAAGTCAAGGTTACCCACGAGACTTACCTCGCTCCAAAGATCAACTCAAAGCTCAACCATAGCTTTGCCTTTCAAACAAGCCTCTGAACCAACAAAATCTAGCAAATTACCAACCAAACGATTCAACATAAGCCTTAGGAACTACCCACGATTGCAAAAGATTCAATTTTAGATCATTATTGAAAAAGTCAACTCCCGATCCCGCTTGGTCCAAACCCGAAATTCAAACCAAAACCCGATTACCCATTCACCCCAGAGCCCGGTTATGTAATTTGTTTTGAAATTTGACTTCAATTTGAGGTCTAAATTCCAATTTTACAAAAATCTCTAATTCTACCCAAACCCCCAATTTCCACCATGAAAGTCCTAGATTTTAGGTTGAAATCTTATGAAATGTAATGGAAGGTTGAAAGAAAATAGGTTAGAATCACTTACCAATGAATTGGGAAAAAAGGGCTCTTGGGAAAATCGCCTCTAGGGTTCTCTAGGTTTGAAAATTTGAAAGAATGAGATAATTCCCGTCTAACCCAGATTTTGATCAGCTACAGATGTCGTAATTGCGACATGGGGTTCGCAATTCCGAACCCTGCAAATGCGGAAAAAGACTTGCAATTGCGAAGCCTTCGCACCTCTGCTTTCATCGCATTTGCTATGAAATGTTCGCAAATGCGAACTCTGGTCCCCCGCAAATGAGACCCTTAGATCGCAATTGCGATCCCTTGCTGACCCAGGCATTCTTCGCAAATGCGAAGAATTGGTTCGCAAATGCAAACCTGAAAGGGATTTGAATGTTCGCAATTGCGAACACTGACCTCGCAATTGCGAGATCATCGACCAACACCAGAACCAGATACACCATCTATTTTTTTAACTCCAAAACTCACTTCGTAGCCTATCCGAAACTCACCCGAGCCCTCAGAGCTCCATACCAAATATGCACACAAGTCCAAAAATATCATACGAACTTGCTCGCGCGACCAAATCGCTAAAATAACACCCAGAACTATTAATCGAACACCAAATCAAATGAAATTTTTTAAAAAAATCTTTAGAATTGCTATTTTCACAACCGGGCGTCCGAATCACGTCAAACTAACTCCGTTTCTCACCAAATTCGATAGGCAAGTCATAAATATAGTATCGGTCCTATACCGGGTTCCGGAACCAAAATACGGACCCAATATCAATAAAGTCAAATAGTGGTCAAACTTTTAGATTCATTAAGCCTTTTTAATTTTTCAACAAAATACGATAACTCGAGCTAGGGATCTCCGTATTCAATTCCGGGCATACTCCCAAGTCCCAAATCATGATACGAACCCACCAGGACCGTTAAAATACAGATCCGGGCCTGTTTACTTAAAACGTTAACCGACATCATCTCTAATGGATTTTTAAGGTAAAATTTCATATTTTATCAATTTTTAAAATAAAAGCCTTCAGAAAAAAAGACCCGGACTGAGCACGCAAATCGTGGAAGGCTTATAGAAGCCTTTGGAGGCTTCAAAACACAAATTTAAGGTTTGAAACTCTAGATGACCTATCGGATCATCACATTCTCCACCTCTAAAATAACCGTTCGTTCTCGAACGGATATAGAAAAGTACCTGGACTGGTTAAAAGGTGTGGATATCTACTCCGTATGTCCGACTCGGACTCCCAAGTAGCTGCCTCGACGGGCTGACCTCTCCATTGCACTCGAACTAAAGGATAACTCACTGACCTCAACCGACGAACCTGTCGGGCTAGAATAGCCACCGGCTCCTCCTCATAAGTCAAATCCTTGTCCAACTTGACTGAACTGAAATCCAACACATGGGACGGATCACCGTGATACTTCCGGAGCATGGAAACATGGAACACCGGATGGACTGCTGACAAACTAGGTGGCAATGCAAGCTTGTAAGCCACCTCAACTTTCTGAAGAATCTCAAAAGGTCCGATATACCTAGGGCTCAACTTGCCCTTCTTTTCGAACCTCATCACACCCTTCATAGGTGAAATCCGGAGCAACACCCTCTCTCCGACCATGAATGCGACATCATGAACTCTACGGTCTGCATAACTCTTCTTCCTGGACTAAGCTGTGCGAAGACGATCCTGAATAATCTTGACCTTATCCAAGGCATCATGTACCAAATCTGTACCCAACAACCGAGCATCCCCCAGCTAGAACCATCCAACTGGCAAACGGTATCGCCTCCCGTATGATACCTCATAGGGAGCCATCTGAATGCTCGATTGGTAGTTGTTGTTGTAGGCAAACTCCGCAAGTGTCAAGAATTGATCCAAAGAGCCTCTGAAGTCTATAACACATGCGCAGATCATATCCTCTAATATCTGAATAGTGCGATCGGACTGTCCATCCATCTGAGGACGAAATATTGTGCTCAACTCGACCTGCATGCCCAACTTACGTTGTACTGCCCTCTAGAAGTGCACGGTGAAATGCGTACCTCGATCAGAAATGATAGACACAGGCGCACTGTGAAGACGAACGATCTCGCGGATGTAAATCTCAGCCAACCGCTCTAAAGAATAGGTAACTGCCATACGAATGAAATGCGCTAACTTGGTCAGCCTGTCCATGATAACCCATACCGCATCGAACTTCCTCTGAGTCCGTGGGAGTCCAACAACAAAATCCATAGTGATACGCTCCCACTTCCACTCAGGAATATCTAACTTCTGAAGCAAACCACCAGGTCTCTGATGCTTATACTTTACTTGCTGACAATTTAGACATCGAGCTACATATGCAACTATATCCTTCTGCATCCTTCTCCACAATAATGATGCCATAGGTCCTGATACATCTTGGCGGCAACCGGATGAATAAAATACCGGGAACTGTGGGCCTCCTCAAGAATCAACTCACGAAGTCCATCTATATTAGGCACACAAATACGACCTTGCATCCTCAAAACTCTGTCATCTCCAACAATAACCTGCTTGGCACCACCGTGTCGCACTGTATCCCTAAGGAGAAGCAAATGAGGGTCATCATACTGCCGCTCCCTGATGCGCTCAAACAAGGAAGACTGAGCGATTGTACAAGCTAGAACACGACTAGGCTCTGAAACATCCAACCTCACGAACTGATTGGTCAAAGCCTAA